CCNCCGCCCACCACCACACACGCATACCTGCGGGTGGCTGCTGTCCACTCCTTCTGGATCCAAGTCGTACGGGGTCAGTAACCCGGTAGGACTTGCATCCAGAAGGCGTGCACAGCAGCCATTCGCAGGTGGGTGTGGTGGTGTGTGTGTGTGTGATGGGCTGCATCGGTGCCGTACCAAATTAACACCGCTACCTCAGCGGACAACACAAGTGTTCGTGCACCGTGCGCTTTCACCTGCGCTACCTTGTGTACTTGTGCGGCGAACGTCGGCGTCTAATCGTTAGTCGTCTAGTCGTTAGTCGTACGCCACACGGTCGTTACCGTCTGCGAAGCTGGCGCTGCTTAAGTAGGCTGTACAGTCCCCGACGCAGATGGTGACTGTATTTAATATTAAACTGTGTAGAACATTTAGAATTTAACGTTGATAACACCGCTGCCTCAGCGGACGGTACACACGTTCGTGCACCGTGCACTCTTCAATGCACCATCGTTTCTGCTCTGACATACGCCGACGCATAACTTCCTCTCTTATGTTCTGCCCTGTCACTGTCCTCGTTTCGAACCACGACCCTCGAAATTCTAGGACCGGCACAAGGTCTACAGTCTCCGACGCTGCTGCAGGCGATTCTACGATTTCGTTGGTCGAGGTTCGACACGATGACGGGGCATAACAGGTTATGCATCGACGCATGTCATGGCATACACCGGCAAGCCTACATACACTTTGCAATCGTACATAACCATGCCTACATGGTAGACCAACAGCGGTGTCGTCACATAGCTATTTAACCGCTGAGCCGGTGGTGTTATTATGGCACGCTAATGCTGCACGCAAAACTCCCCCCCCGACACCACACACACTCACACGGCCACACGCACCTGCTGCTGCCTGCTATGCGGTCCTTCTGAATCCAAGTCATACCTGGTCAGTAACCCAGTAAGACGCGGATCCGCAAGGTGTGGACCCAAGTCTTACCTGGTTACTGACCCGGTATGACTTTGATCCACAACGACTGGACAGCAGGGCGGTGTGGTGTAGCCCGGTGTACTACTGTGTGTGTACATATGACATGCTGCATCGCTACCGTACCATGATAACACCACTGCCTCGCCGGACAGCACGACTG